CAAATTGGCCTCTTTTCAGATCTTGAGTAGTTGGACACTTAAATAAACACACATATAGTATAAATGAATTTTAGATTCTGAGTGGAACGATGAATGTATTGATTTTACAATGTGTGTTTTTTTAAAAATTTTTTTGATTTATTTTTGTGCCTGTGTACACGATAGGTAGTCGAAATAATGCTTCGATTTTCAACTTCAGTATCTTGTTCGATTGGAAAGTGAATCTAGTTGGTGCATTCGGGAGGTAAAATTTTAAAATTCCCAATAGTTTTCACAAGCGCCGGGATTAAACACATAAAAAATAAGGAATAACGGAAATTTTTACTCAAAATCTGTTTTCCAAAAAATCGATTTTGGTTTTTGGTGTAACTCTAAAACAAATGAACGTAAATACATGAAATTTTCACTATATTTGCTTTTTCTATACACGATAAAATTTTTAAAATATTATGATTTGTTTTGAACTGTTTAAGGATATTTTCATTTTCCATTTTTTTTAGTTTTTATTCTAAAAATATCAATAAAATTTTATTTGTTAGCTTAGAAAGCTTGAAAATGTATTATAAGGCTCCTAGTATATTGTTTAAAGGCAGATGAAAAATATTAAAAATAGTTAGTCACAATTTTCTTTTATAAGCATTTAAAGTTCAAAAATTGACGAAATATGGAAAAATCACGAAAATTAGCAAATTATTTTGAGTTAAGAATTCGTACCATCCATTACAGCGACCCCCCACTTGTAAGAAGTAACCTAATGTACAGCAGGTTAGGTATACAGCAAAAATATTTTGACTCTTTTTGAGCTTTTCAGTTTTCAATTTTTTTAGTTTTTTTTTCTATAAATATCAATAAAGTTTTATCTGTTATGCCAAAAAGTGTAAAAATTTAATATAAGGCTCCTGATATATTGTTACAATATCAGTTGAAAAATATTAAAAATACATAAGCTGCACAATTTTTTTTATAAGCATTTAAAGATCGAATTTTGACAAAATTTATCAAATTTAAAATTGAATAATTATTTTGTAGTTAAAAATGTATAAAATGTTCAACTTTTATATCTAAGGATTGAAAATTTAAAACATGATTTCACCATTGTAGTTAATTCTGTTACCAAAAAATCTAAAAAATACATAAGCACAGTTTATTTTTATAGTCATTTTAAGTTCAACTTTGGATAAAATTACATAAAAAAAAACTAGAATAACTATTTTAGTTATTTTTTTTGTGATTGTGTAATATTATTCGTGGGTACTTGAAACATCTAAAGTACACTATTATATACCTATGGAGTATGGACTATGATAGTATCAGGGTTTGTTGTTGACGTATAATGCATTATAAGTACCTAATGGATATTGGGATATGATTAATTTGGAATTTATTATAGGTTAATTTTTTTTAATACGATAGATAAGAAAATAATATGGCTTATACCTAGACTGACATACCGTCTCCGCTCAGAATCGTTTTTCTTATACAATGATATTATATCATTGAATTCAAATTTCATACTATCCATTATACAGTGACCCACTTGTAACCTACTGTACATCGGAGCACCTTTTTTTTGTTTTATATACCTAGTACACAAGTATAGATTTCTAATTTGGTTTTAATAAGTGGCCCCTTGAAATTTCCTGACCCACAGTTTCCTAACTCTGGATCCGCCCCTGACGGCGAACCTAGGCGCGTAATAATTTACGTAAAATACATGCGTTGTATAGAAACGGGCGTGTGTTAGGTTAGTAGGTACACAGTACAAGCGCGTACGCATGAAACATCGCGGAACTTGGTGAGCGGAACGGGTGAGGAGATAAATCGTATCGAAATTTAACACGCATAGCATAGGCGATTGAACGTTTTACGTGTTATTAGGTAAGTACTCATCCATTTTCGACGTACAACGCGCGTTTACGCAATTTATTTTATTAATAATTATGTTGCATGATGTTGTTTATTTTGTAAGTAATAATATATATGTATAATTAATTTTGGTGATGGTAGTTACGTATTAATCGTTTATAAATAATAATAGTAGATACATGTAGGATAATTGATAAATACTATTGGTAATTACATACGCGGACAGAATATTAATTGAATAAGTAAATTAATAAATATAGTTTATATACATTATATGTACCTAATGTTTAGATATATATATGACAGAATCCGATAGTTCAGATATTGAAACTAGTTCTGCGGACAGTTCAATAAAAGTTAAAAAATATAACGTAGAAAAAAAATGAAAAAAAAAAGGAAAATTTAGGATTAAATTTTTTATAAAATAATATACAAATACATAAAGGAACATATTAGCATATATTGGACATAATTAACATGGTGATAGAAAAAGAAATATATTAATCTAGCTTATTTTAAATATAAGTAACATGGTAGGTAATGAAAATAATATATAATATACCACTATTTTATCATATATATATATTGCACGAAAAAAAAATATATTGTAATAGATTTTAAGAATTCACATTATATTAAAGAATTAATTCATATTATATTAAAACTAAGATAAGATTATTGTTGTAAAACCAAAAAAAAATATATTGTTAATCACATAAGATACTAACCTATATAATAAGCATATATATATTGTAATATTGTGGATTGTAATCTGTATTTTGTCAATAATATTTAATAAATGTAATCAGAAAAATATGGTGGAATGTACCATATAATTACAATAATGTAACTAAATATTTGTAACAAACATATTATGTAAACATGTAATAATTGAATGTAATGTAATAATTGATGTATGTAAAACTTGTAACCATAGGAAAGTGCTTGAACTAATGGAAGGATAATTGAGTTAATTTTTCTCGTTTTAGACGATAAAAATCAACTTTTAAAGGGGGAGATGTAGTAGGCAAGTTACTACGTAACAATAAAACCAATTCCACAGGTGCAGAATTAGTATAATATACTGTAGATCGGCATAAATCGGATATTAGAATTTATACGAATTCTTAACTCAAAATAATTTGGTAATTTTCGTGATTTTTCCATATTTTGTAAATTTTTGAACTTTAAATGCTTATAAAAAAAATTGTGCATAAGGATTTTTAATATTTTTCATCTGCCTTTGAAACAATATACTAGGAGCCTTCTATTAAATTTTCAAGCTTTCGCAACCAACAAATACAATTTTATTGATATTTTTAGAAAAAAACTAAAAAAAAATGGAAAATGAAAATGTCCCTAAACAGTTCAAAATAAATCAAAAAAGTTTTAAAATGTTATCGTGTATAGAAAATGCAAATATAAACAACCAGTGATAATTTCATGTATATACGTTCATTTCTTTTAGAGTTACACCAAAAACCAATATCGTTTTTTTGGAAAACCGATTTTGCGTAAAAATTCCCGTTTTTCCTTAATTTTTATGTTGTTTTTCCCGGCGCTTCTGATAACTACTGAGAATTTTTTACTTTTGTAAAGTACCAACTAGATTCACTTTCCTTTCAGAAAAGCTACTGTTGAAGAAAATCCAAGCACTTTTACTGTCCTAAAACCTGATGACAGACACAAAAAAAAAAAACACACATCATTGTAAAATCAATACATTCATCGTTTCACTCAGAATCTAAAAATTAAAAACACGATTCCTAGTATTGCATGACGTAATTACAGCTCTGAAATGTTTTATTTGGGTCAAGGGTAGAACAACTGGAAAAGGGAATCATAATAATTATTATAATATAATAAATAATAATATATAATATTCAATTTTAGGATAAAAATAATATAAATTTTTAACTCAAAAAGTTTCTTGATTTTTTTTACGAAATTTGTCAAAATTATAACTTCAGACGCTCATAAAAAACTATTGTGGATTTATGGTAGACTTTTTTTTAATTCCCACCAACAACACTTTAGGAGGAATGTTGTAGGTTAGGTAAACATACTTATAATGCATATTGTATTAAATGTTCAAATCTTAAATTTAAAAATTAAATTTTTTATGAATTTCTAACTCATACATAATTATTTTCACATTTTCATAATTTTTACGTATTTTGTCAAAATTTGAACTTTAAATATCGCCAGGCAATTTTCAACTGTCATTGGTCTGATGTACAATTGCTTAGTTTACACACAATTTGTTCGATAACTTTGATGATCGCAAGGTGAATCTAGTTTGGAACACAATTGATCGTGTTGTATGGTCAATTGTCAATTTACTGTAATAAAATCGACTAAGACACTAGGTGGAATTGGCAAACGAGTCCCTGTCGAATAGCTGAGAACTCGAAACAGTCGAAATCACCACAAAAAATAACATAATATTATGTACACACTCATACATTCACCATTCAGTCTAGTAAGTCTAATAAATATAAACGCCGATATACCTAAGTGTTTTAAATAAATAAATAATAAATTTAATAAATTATACGAATATTCTACAGTTTTGTCCCCACTTAACCACCCCTCCCCCCCAAAAAAAAAAAAATATATGTGGACCAGTACAAAAAGTTGAAATGACGGCCCTGCCATTCACCTTACAGAGAAATAAAGCCCACCATAGTTGTATATTTGATAGCTTTAAATTGCTTTTTTAGTTGAACTTGACCTGTTTCAAATAATTCATAAGTTTCAAGCAAAGATTAATAGATCAGTAAGTTAATCCAAGTGATTGCTTTATTGGCTGCACCTCAACATACCTAATATGTTATTTGCCAAACGCATACGTTCATATTAATCATTACATATTTTATATTCAAACGCGCATCGTCACTAATTAAGTCGATAACATTTCTGAGTATTGCAATTTGCAATGATCATTAGAAAAAATTATTAATCACAAGTTTAGGTTATAGGTTAACCGAATATTTTGTGAATTGTGAATAAAAGAATGCAAAGTTTTAAATGTTCATCAGTTACACCTATACACTTACGTGCGTTGTTTCATGTTTGTATCACTCATCTTTATTGTATTAATGTATTGACTTAATAAATTTAATACATTCAGTATGAATACGTTTAAGCTTTCTAATATTTTATTTAACATTGTGATTTTACATTTAATTGTAAAATGTGTATCAGAATCGACAGAAGTTACAAATTGTGACGGGTATGAAGCTAAGAACCTGCCACCTTATGGAACATTTTGCGATAGATTTAGTGAGAAATGTATTGACACTGTACATTTCCATTTTGAAAATAATAGATTGCCGTATTTTGTATTACATAATTTTACATTGGACTCTACATGGAAATCTGTCGGAAATATTATATATTGTAAAAGTGGTACTTGTCGTGCAGAATTTACTATAAAGATTGAAAAAAGTACACAGATTGAATATGGCAATAAAACATCTTCAACGCAATGGTCCACATTGGGATATAGTGAAGCTATTGCAAAGACTATAGCTGACAGTGTGAATGCTGGTTTTTCGGGCATGGGCATACAATTTCGCGTATCCACTGAAACTGATGGTGATGGTAAACGATCATTTGAAGTTACTAATAAGAATGGTTTTACTGTATTGTATTCAACTAGTACAGCAAGAGCAAATACTGTCGGTGCGGAAAAAAAAATCACATGTGATGGGGTTCAAAATGAAAAAATATTTGTGGAGGCGCGAACAAACATGGCACGATTGAGGGGCAACGCTTGCGAATTTTTATGTAATGGTCCAAATGATTACTTAATTATGAATCATGAAAGCTTTTTCAAGTGTAATTACGTTGATTTAGAAATGTATCCAGTACATAATAAAAATATAGTCATCGAATTGCGATGTAACCGTGAAATGGTGAAATAATAGATTTATAATTTAATGAACTATAATAGAATTATTAGAACTATTGTAGTATACAATGTTAGTAGTATTGTTGAATAATAAAAAAACATTCATTAAATTATGTATATTGTTTTTATTTTTTCAGTATAAAAACATTAATTATATCGAAAACACCGCGTTCAAGGTAATCTTGCATTATAATAGACATGTAAAGTATAAAGTCAAATTTCTAAAAATAAAATGTATATTTCTCATTGGCATGACGTCGGCGTCCTTCCTTCTAGCACTTGTGCTTAAAATTCTAAGTAATTTTCAAAAGCGCCAAGAAAAACAAAATAAAAATCAACGAAAAACGTGAATTTTTAGGCAAAATCTATTTTTAACAAAATCGAATTTGGTTTTTTTTTTGTAACTTTAAAAAAAATAACCGTAAGTACATGAAATTTTCACTGGTAGTTTAAATTTGCATTTTCTATTCACGATAACATTTTTAAAATATTTTGATTTATTTTGAACTGTTTAGGGAGATTTTCATTTTCCATATATAAATATCAATAAAGTTTTATCTATTCGGCCAAAAAGTATGAAAAATGTAACACAAGGCTCCTGATATATTGTTACAATATTGAATAATTATTTTGTAGTTAAAAATCTATAAAATGTTCAACTTTTATATCTAAGGATTGAAAATTTAAAATAAGATTCCACGTAAGTAGTTTATTCTGTTACCAAAAAATCTAAAAACTACATTAGCACAGTATATTTTTATAGTCATTTTAAGTTTAAATTTGGACGAAATTACATATTTTATAACCTAGAATAACTATTTTAGTTATTTTGTTGTGATTGTATAATATCATTAGTGGGTACTTTATACTTCTAAAGTGTACTATTATATCTCTATGATAGTATCACGGTTTGTTGTTGATGTATAACGCGTTATAATTATAAATAAGTACCTAATGGATATTTGAATTATTTGGAATTTATTATAGGTGCCTATTAAAGGTCAATTTTTTTTTTAATACCATTGTAGATATGTATATAATATGTCTTAAACCTAGACTGACATACCGTCTCCGCTCAGAATCATTTTTCTTATACAATGATGTTATATCATTGAATTCAAATTTAATACCATCCATTATACAGTGACCCACTAGTAACCTACTGTACAGCAGAGCACATTTTTTTATTATGATTTACATAATTAAATATAAGCATAAAATATATAATATTCTAAAATACTAGTTTAATATTATGTAAATTAATAAACTGTTAAATTGTGAAAACATTAATGTTAACAATTGTTTTTCATTAATTATTATATTATTAGGTATGTATCTAATTTAATATTTATTATACTAGACAATACATTTATTTTATTAAAAGGTAACTATAAAAATAATTACATCTAGTATATGACATATTAAACAATAACTAATTATATCACAGTTAAAAAATTATATTATATAATATATAAATATTAAATATATATAATAAATAGTTCAGTAACATATTATATATTAGGTATTACCTACTTATTGATTGTTATAAAGTAGGTATACAAGTATAGCTGCAATCTGCATTTTACATTGTCAAGAATTGTCATTTGTACGTACTTAAAAAAATTTTTAAAGGTAAATAATTTTGTCATTTGTCATTTGTATATAATTTTAAAAAATGTTTAAAGGTAAATAATTTTCAAAGTCAATTGTATATAATTTAAAAAAAATTAACTGTGTACAAATTTAAAATAATTTAGTGGCATTGCTTTCTAATGTTGTGGCCAACTGCCATAAGAAAATCTAATATACTTATATATTATCATTATTTTTATTTTGCACACATACATTTTTTAGGCGGTTTTCAGTTGATTGTTTTGTACCTAGTTTTGTACTCTGTACTCTGTCTCCTACATTACTCAACGCCAATTTTGCTTGGTCTGTAGCAACTTCCATTTCCATTTTTTTTTATTAAATTCCAAGTTGTTGGATGCTTATGTGCACAGAGCTTTGAAAAGCGGTTATTCCAAACCACTGTATTATTGTTGGTGCGATGCCCACTTTTTAATGTTTACTCATATACTTTCCACATAGGCAGTGGAAATATGGGAGGTAGGTAAATATACGAAGCAGTTCCTACGAGATGTGGGCATGTAAGATATTGAATTTCAAAAATACTCATATACCTATCTTGCTTAAAAATTAAGCGAAATAAATATAGTAATAAAAACTTTAATTTACCTTCAACAATTATTTCTGACAGACATCTTCGTTTTGGTGTAATTTTTACTGCAGAAAGCATATTTTCATTTGACTCGTGTGCGTGATCGTGTTCAATAGATATTGGTTAGTAAAGTTGGACTATCAATATTTAAATCGGTTTTTAAAATACTGGGACCTGGGACACTTCATTGAACTTGATTTAGTAAATCTCCAACGAATCATAGTTTTGCATTCTTTTTGAATGTTGTACAAATATTCACCGTATAGAATTTGAGGATTTTTATTATTATTTCGAATCGTTTCCATTTTATACTCGCACTTTTAATTCAAACATCTGGAGGCAGCATTCCCTATGTTTCAGACCTCAGTAAAATTTAAATGCCCGCCACATCGGCCAGAATTACCTCCAATAGATAACAGTTCTGACTTATCACTAAGATAGTAATAATTGTTATCAAATAAATAACAACATAATATTATTATTTCATTGTTGGCCGACTTTTGATCTTGGAATCATTCGATTAATTGAAATTTGAACAGAAATACAAAGGACAAACTACATTCGTGCAGTTGTTCATACGTTTTAGTTAAAAATTACCATGCATAAGTGTATTCTATTTAGTAAAACATACAAAGTATCGCCTCGGCACATAACTTTAATTTGCATTTGTAAGTATTATTTTCCAGTTGTACTGATTATATTTCTTATAAATTTGTTCACAAATTTAGATTTCCAAAAAATGAAAATAGAAGGAAATAATGGCTAAAGTAGATAGTATGGCCAGAGGCTGTCTCAAAACATAATCCAAACCACTTGTCTGGGATAGAGAAATAATGTAAACAATAAAAAATACATTTTAATAATTTACAGCAACTGGTACTACTCTGAGCGCGACTAGTAAATCATTTAAGAGGTAAAAATATTTAATACAATTCATGAATTAGCTATTTAGATATTTTTTACAACTTGACATTTTCAGAAAATTATATTTCTCCAATGAATTAGAAGAAAATGACAGACAAACAAAGAATTTGGAGACGTTACAGTTTATGATTTTAATTCACCCAGAAAAGCCTAAAAAATTAACAATATCTAATTCACTCACACTTATGTAAGTATATTACTCGAGTTTAATAGTTTAAGAGGACGCTATAACCGCATGTGCTGTCACCATCTTACAATATAGAACATAGCAAAAACTGTTTTGCTCAGAAAATAACCGAGAAGACTACAATCATAACTAAGAAACCATATTTTCACTATAAAAAACGAGAACATTGGTTGTGGTTTTTATTTTTTTGATATCGCTTATATGAAAAAATTTTAAACTGTTTCAAAAAACCATTATTGTTTGTGTTTTTCAAACTTGAAAAACTTTTTTATATAAATGATAACAAAAAAATAAAAACAACGTTGCACAGCCCTAGTTCTCCTTTTCATGTGGGGAAATTCTCGTTTTTTAGTTATGATTGGAGCCTTCTCGGTTCTTTCCCGCGCAAAACAGTTTTTGCTATGTTGTGAATTTGTAAGACGGAGACAATGCATGCGGGTATAGCGTCCCCTTAAATGTTTACCAAAACCAAAAGTTACTAGGTGGTTTATAGTTTTTAGTTGATACAGTGGTGAGTGGATTATACTTATTATGGTTTTCAAAACTGAAATATATGGTGTACCACATACAAAGAACTTGGAAGTTGACTTTCTCAACAAGAAAAGACAAACTTCTTTGAAAAAAGAGTTGGCGGTTATTAAAAAGCTTCAGTGGCTGTCATTGAAACTCCTCAATTGTCAACAATGGACATAACTGAACAAGACTTTTAAATTAGTTGTATTCTGATACCTGCAGTATTTCCTTTTATTTGTGTACTTATTAATTCTATGTGCCCTCTCCCCACCACCCATCAGAGGGTTATTAGTTAGATTATTTAACCAAGCCGCACTATGCACTCTGAATCACACATCCAATGTATCGCCTCGCCACATTACGTTAATTTTCATTTGTAAGTATTATTTTCTGGTTGTACTGGTTATATTTCTTAATACTGTGGAGTCAGTCTAATTTGCTAATATGTTCACAAATATAGGTAGATTTCCAAAAAAATCAATGAAATAAAAGGAAATAATGGCTACAAATGTTCGAATTATCATGATTTCTACCTAGCATAGAATCTGCAGCGGTAATCATTTCTCAATTATTAGTGATTGTAAACAATGCCCAGTAAATTAGTAAATATGGTCAGAGGCTGTCTCAAAACATGATCCAAACCACTTGTCTGGGATAGAGATGTAAAATAAATGTTAGTACTTTACGGCAACATTTTTACTACTCTGAGCACGACTAGTAAATCGCATCTAAGAGGTAAAATCATTTAACATAATCCATGAATTTGGTACCTATTTATGTTTTTTTTTTTACAACTTGACATTTTCAGAAATCATGTTTCTTCAATGATGAGTTAGAAGAAAATGAACAAACAAATAAAGGATTTGAAGGCGTTACAGTTTATGGTTTTAATTCACCCAGCAAGCCAAAAACCATTCACACTTGGTAAGTATATTACACGAGTCTCCAATTTTAAATGTTTGACAAATCCAAAAGTTACTTAATGGTTTATCGTTTTTAGTTTATACAGTGAATTATACTTATTATTGTTTTCAAAACTGAAATATATGCAAGTACCACATGCAAGGAACTAGGTAGTGGAGCCAATGTATTGACGATTTTTCTGACGTTGACTTTCGTGAAGAAAATTCTACAGACTCAGATGAAGCCGTACAATATTGGAGCGAAT